TTATTCTTAATATGAACAAACTTAAATCGTATATATACTGGTGGAACTGAACTCTTATTCCACTAGAAAATTCTATAAATAGATTGTTCAGTAATTAGTTTAATATTTAAGCGATTGGAATTCTTAGTGCATAATTTCTTAAAGGATCACTATAGTGTCAGGAAAACAAATAGTTTTTCCTGACACTTTAGTACCCTGAGGATGCCCCCGCCCTGAGGGTCCCCCTCCTGTGGTGCTGAAGGGGTTAAAACCCCATTCAATTACTCACCTTATTCCACCACCGGGCTCCCTTACCTCTCCTCCCCCGCCGACGTCAGCTCCCCCGTCCCCCGCCGACGTCAGCTCCCCCGTCTGACGTCAGCGGAGGGGAATGCACAATGCACATGCGCGGCAGTGCTGCACGCGCATTCAAAGTGTCTATAGGAAAGCATTTCTCAATGCTTTCCTATGGATGCTCTGCATGATGGAGGCAGCCACATGATGGAGGCAGCCACTAGAGGCTGGCTTAACCCCAAATGTAAACATAGCAGTTTCTCTGAAATTGCCATGTTTACAGCATGCAGGGGTAACCCTAGAGCAGTGATGGCGAACCTTTTTGAGCCTGAGTGCCCAAACCGCAATACATGCCAACTTTTCTTTCCTTAAAGTGCCAACACTGCAATTAAACCTCAATACTGAGGTTTAAGTTTAGAAAAAAACAACTCGTACTGTTGTACAACAACAATTCCATGATACAGATTTTAAATAATGATATAAATAGATAAAATTAAGCTTATATTTATTAGTATCTCCAACAAATGCAATACATACACACACACAGACTGCTGAATACATACACACAGTCTGCTGAATACACACACAAGACTGCTGAATACAGAGACTGATGAATACACACACCGCCTGCTAAATACACATACAGACAGACTGCTGAAGACACATACACAGACAGACTGCTGAGTACACACACACAGACTGCTGAATACACACATACAGTCCGCTGAATACACACACTGCTGAGTACACACACACAGACTGCTGAATACACACACACAGACTGCTGAATACACGCACACACACAGACTGCTGAATACACGCACATACTGCATTGAAGGGTGTAGTGTATGTGTTTGTGTGTGGGGTGCTGTGTGTGTGCTGTGTGTGAGGGTTGCTGTGTGTGTCTGAGGGTTGCTGTGTGTGTGATGGTTGCTATGTGTGTGTGTGTGTGTGTGTGATGGTTGCTGTGTGTGTGTGTGTGTGTGTGAGGGTTGCTGTGTGTGTGTGTATGTGAGGGTTGCTGTGTGTATATGTATGTGTGGGTTGCTGTGTGTGTGTGTATGTGAGGGGTGCTGTGTGTGTGAGGGGTGCTGTGTGTGTTAGGGGTGCTGTGTGTGTGTGTGTGTGTGTGTGTGTGTGTGAGGGTTGCTTTTGTGTGTGTAGGAAGGGTGGGGAGGGATGCTGAGGAAGGGAGGGGTGCTGTGTGGGGGTAGGGGTATTTTGTGTGGGGGGTAGGGGTGCCGTGTGTGTGGGGCTGGGGTAAAGGTGTTTTTAAAAAAAAAACACTGTTGGTCCGGGGGTGGCAAGCACTGCTTCCATGTCGGGAGTCAGGGGGAGGGATCTGTGAAGCAGCTCCCCTGTCCTCCCGCGCGATGCTGTGTGGAGCATTGTCATGGTAACGCGCGGCATACAGCACCCTCACATACACACACACAGCAAACCACACATACATACACACACAGCAACCCTCACATACACACACACACAGCAACCCTCACACACACACACACACACAGCAACCATCACACACACACACACACACACACACAGCAACCATCACACACACACAGCAACCCTCAGACACACACAGCACCCCTCACACACAGCACCCACACACATACAGCACCCACAGACATGCACAGCACCTACACACATACAGCACCCACAGACATACACATCACCTACACACATACAGGACCCAAACACATACACAGCATCAACACACATACAGCACCCACAGACAAACACAGCACCTACACACATACAGGACCCAAACACATACACAGCATCAACACACATACAGCACCCACAGACATACACAGCACCTACACACATACAGCACCTACACACATAAAGCACCTACACACATTAAGCACCCACAGGCTAACACAGCACCTACACACATAGAGCACCCACAGACATACACAGCACCTACACACATACACAGCACCCACACACATACACAGTACCAATACACATACAGCACCCATATATATATATACGCACATATATATACATACATACATATATATACGCGGCGTGTGCTTGTGCTTTAGGGTGCACACCCTAATGCAATAGGCTGCGCACGCCTATGATAATGTCCCTTTAATTATAAGTGCATAATTTAGCTAAAGGGACACTATAGGGCACCCAGACCACTTTATCTCATTAAAGTGGTCTGGATGAAGTGCCCCTGTTCTCTTAACCCAGTAAAGCAAGCATGTCAAACTCAAAGGCTAGCACAAGCCAAATAAACAAGGTTTAAGTTTATGTGGGCCACAAAAAAAAAAAACTTACGTTTTAATAGAAACGTAAGTTTGTTTTAAAAAGTACAGTATAAAAAAAACAGCCCACCCTCTACTAATACCCAGTTCCCCCCTCTATACTAACTCCCAGTCCTGGCCTCTATACTAAATCCCAGCACCTCCCTATACTAAACCCTGGCCCTTGTTAAAAAAACAAACAAAA